TTGTACACAATAACAGCCACGTTATGCAATGACTAAGAATGTTAAAATGAACCCTTCTCAGCATTATGAGGATCTAAGACATCTCCAGAGGCCTCGGGATGGAAAATGCTGTCCACATCCGAAGAAAGAACTATGGAAGTCGAATCACTATCACTTATTTTTACCTTCTGTTGAGTTTTGTTTCATCTTACTGATGGTTCCTCCTATTGGTTTTAATTTTTACTTACAACTTCACTAATGTGAAAATATGTTTAATGGGTATGTAAATGTAAAGCCTATGTCAGATTGTGCGCCATCTTGGGGAGGGTGGGGGGGAGGAAAAGGGAGAAAAATTTTCAACTCAAAAGCATATGGGAAAAAAATTAAAAATTAAAATTAAAAAAAAAAGGAAATGTTATGAGAAAATATTTTTTTAAAAAACCAGCTTCACAAACACAAGATGAAGTGGCAACTGCTTGATATCAGTTTGTCTCTAAAAGATCTGGGGTTTTTAAAGGGCTGCAAATTTGATGAGTGAACAGTAGGATACACCAATAAAAAAAATGAATCTGATGTTCAGATACTTTAAGAGAAACATAGTGTCATGACAAGGGAAATGGCAGGCCCTGGTCAGGGGACTGTGTTCAGTTCTAGGAATCACCCACTTGAGGTGTTAGAAGGAGCCTGCCTCCGCAGCCATCTAGTCCATTCCATACACCAAAGGAATCACCACTGTAACATACCTGACAAGGAACCCTGCAGCCTCTGCTTGAAGACCTCCAAGGAAGGGAAAAGCCACCTCCTCTTCAGGCAGTTCCTTCCACTTCAGGACAGCTCTAATTGGGAGGAAATTTGTCCCAACATCATCTCCATTTGCTTCTTTGTAACTGCCAGCTGCCTAGTTCTGTCCTCTGGTGCCAAAGAAAACAAGTCAAATCCCTTGTCAATAGCTCAGCCCTTTAAATACTTGACTATTATTGCAACAAATAAGAACTATGACAAACCGAAGAGTTCCTAGAAGAGAGTGACTGGGGTAATGAGTGAAGCTTCAACAAAGTAATCAAGAAAGATTCTTAAACATCTGCTGTATCCAAGATATGGATCCAGGCATCAGTAGGAGGTAACAGGATGGTTAGCCTTGGAGACAGAAAAGAGTTAGGTGGAAACATAATAGCTTTCTTCAAATTGATGAAGGCTTATCACACAAAAGAAGAATTTAATTTGTTCCGCTTGTCCCTAGAGGACACAAGTAGGAACAGTATGTGGAATCTGCAGAGAGGATTGCCACTCTCTCTAAAGAAAAATTTCCTGACTTTGAGAGCTGTCTACAAGTGAAATGAGTGGCCTGAGGGAATAGTGAGTTCCCCCTCACTGGAAGTGTTCAGGCAATGTTCAGGCAAAGTATGTTGTAGAAGGGATTTCTTTTTGGGTGCAGATTATACTCAATAACCTCAGAGATTCCTTCCTGAAGTCTAAGAGTCTGTGATTCTGTGGCACATGAATTATTCCATCCTTCAGTATTTAGTGCTAGACATCTTTATTAAATTCCTTCTACCAGGACAATCACTAATCATTCTAAACACTCTGTTAGATCATATTTTCTGGATATTTTGGGCTACATTATAGATCACAGATATAGAGCTGAAAGGGACCCCACCCACAGTGTAGTCCAAACCATACACTTTACACATGAGGAAACCAAGGCCCAAGGAGATGAAATTAATTGTCCAAGGTCACATGGTGAGATTGGAACCTACATGTTCTAAGTCTATAGCCAATGCTTTTTTTTGTCTCCACACTGCCCAAAACCACTTACTTTTTAAAAAAATGTTCATGCATTTACTTTTGTTCTTAGAAGGTTCTGCAATCTTAGACTGTATTACAAAAAAGGTAGTGTTTATGTTTAGGAAAATGGTAGTGCTGTTGTACTCTGCCCTAATCACACTGCCCCCAGGGTATCATCTTTGTTTGGCTGTTCCATTTTAGGAAGGATAGTGATAAGTTGCAAGTAACTCTTGGGTTTATTTACCTCGTCTTACTTTAATTGCCTAACATAGTGCTATGCACACAGTAAATGCTTGCATGAATGAAAGTGGATATTTGCACATGCCTCTGTGCCTTCCTACTGTTCCAAGCAAGTTAAATTGAGGTTATCCCCATTCTCTAGTATCTTAGTACATTTTCTGTAATCTCACATGAATTGTGTGTACTGAGCTGCATTTTTCAGGCACTGTTGTTGTTCAGTCATGTCTGACTGTCCGTGAACCCGTTTGGAGTTTTGTTGGCAAAGATTCTGCAGTGGTTTGCCATTTCCTCCTCCAGCTCATTTTACAGATGACGAAATTGAGGCAAACAGGGTTAAGTGACTTGCCCAGAGTCACACAGTAAATGTCCTTGGCTGAATTTGAATCCATAAAGATGAGTCTTCCTGATTCAAAACCCAATGCCCTCTCTATCTGACCATTGGCACTGCCCTAGTGTTGTCCATCATAACCTCACACCTGTGGTGTGAAATAGGTGAAAATAGCGTGATTATCAGCTTCTCTGCCTCTTCTCTCTCCACTTTAAGGCCCATTCTCCTTTCTATCATCAAGTTGATTGTCCTAAAACACAGTGACCTGGCCTCCCAGTCAACTAATTCCAGTGGCTTCCTATTGCCTCCAAGACCAAATATAAAACCCTCTGTTTAGTTTTTAGACCTAATCTGGTCCCTGCATTCTTTTCCACTCTTATTTGTTTATCTCTCTCTCTGTCTCTGTCTCTCTCTTTCTCTCTCTCACTCTGTCTCTCTTTCTTTCTCTGTCTCTGTCTATCTATTTATTTTTAGTTTTCATCATTCACTTCCATAAGAATTTGAATTCTAAATTTTCTCCCCCTCCCTTCCCTCCCCACCCCCCAGGACGGCATGTAATCTGATATAAGTTATGCGTGTACATTCATAGTAAACATTTTCACATTAGCCATGTTGTAAAGAAGAGTTAGAACGAATGGGAGAAACCATGAGAAAGAAAGAAGAGAGTAAATAGTATGCTTCCATCTGCATTCAGACTCCATGTCTCTTTTTCTGGATGTGGATAGCATTTTCCATCATAAGTCTTTTGGAGTTGTTTTAGATCCTTGCATTGCTGAGAAAAGCGTAAGTGTATCAAAGTTAGTCATCACACAATGTTGCCGTTACTATGTACAGTGTTCTCCTGGTTCTGCTCACTTCACTCAGCACCAGTTCATGTTAAGTCTTTCCAGGTTTTTCCTGAAGTCCACCTGCTCATCATTTCTTATGCAACAATAGCATTCCATTACACTCATCTATCACAACTTGTTCAGCCATTCCCCAGTTGATGGGCATCCCTTCGATTTCCAGTTCTTGGCCACCACAAAAAGAGCCGCTAGGAATATTCTTGTACGTGGGGGTCCTTTTCCCATTTATTTTCCAGTCTTCTTAACCTTACTTGCGTCCATGTCCTCTGTGAGCCAGTGACACTGGCCTTTCTGCTGCTCCTCAACAAGACACTCCTTCCCCATCCTGGAGTGTTTTCACTGGCTGTCCCCCAACCCTAGAATTCTCTTCTTCCTCATCTCTGTTTTCCTAGCTTCCTTCAGATCCCAGCCGAAATCCCACCTTGTACAGGAAGTGTCTCTGAATCCCCCTTAGTCTTCGTGGCTTCCCTCTTCTGGCTGCTTTCAGGTGGTCCTGTCTCTGTCTTGTGTGTGCAGAGCTGTGTGCATGTCGTCTCCCCCAGCAGACTGGGAGCTCCAGCAGGGCTTAGTACAGTGCCAGGCATGTAGTAGGTGCTTAATAAATGCTTTTTGACTTACTTGAGATGACCTTTAATAAGGTAAGGACAAGATAGGGTTAAAGACTGCAAGATTTGAGTCCTCCCACCTCCACCCCAGAATACCTACCATGGCTTCTGTTTAACATTTATCATTGACCACAATAGGTAGAATTTTTAGTGTATTAGGCTTGATCAAACTGATTATTTCTAAAGAAAAAAACATAAATGGACAGAAAATTGGTTAAATGGGAAGTGTTTTTATTAAGCCTATTATATTTTAGTTGTTTTACAGTGCTCTCCCAAAGAGCATGAAAAAGCTTCTGCTTCTTAATAAGGGATGGCCAGCAGTGACTAACAGGGCTCCCCAGCAAACCAATGGTATTCAGTAATTACATATAGAATTCCATTTTAAGGAGTATGATTTTAACCTTGGCTTTTAAAGCTGTTTGTAAAGTGCTTTCCTAATCTGTTTCCAGTGAATTGTATTTAATGAAAAGTCATACAGGGTGGGGGGGGGTGCATGTTTACAAATCATCATCCGTGTTAAGAGTCATTCTGGTTTTTTTTGTTTGTTTGTTTGTTTTTGTGTTTTGGTGAGGCAGTTAGGGTTAAGTGACTTGCCCAGTCTCACACAGCTAGTAAGTGTCAAGTGTCTGAGACCAGATTTGAACTCAGGTCCTCTTGACTCCAAGGCCAGAGCTGTATCCACTGTGCCACCTAGGTGTCCTGAGTCATTCTGTGTTGAAAACATTTTTAGACTTTCTGCCATGACTGTATTTGTATACAGTGGTCTCAGAAGGGTGCAAGATGAAGGAAATGTTGTGTGCCAGATTAAAACATTTGGAAGAACCAAGTGAGTAGAAATACAGGTAAAGGGGAAAACCAACTAAGTCAAGGGTCAAGATCTCACATAGTTTAGGCAGATTGCAAAAATGTATGTAATAGACTCTAAGTCCTATGATCGGGAACACACCTTATGCTGACTGTCTTGTACTCCATTTGTGACCATGACTTAGCCACTCTAATCACAGAACAGATGAGTGAGGAGAAAAGCCATGGAGGTACCAGTCACCAAGGTGAAAAGTTGTATTTTCCACTGAGCCCTTCAAGTTATTTTTAATGTCGTAATTGGTTTCTCTTTGGTAAAGGGAACACAAAAATAACCAGGATAAGTTGTGTGATTATTGCCTTAGTCTGGGCTTATTCTCAAGTGACACTTATCATATGCAATTTTTATATCCTAAGGAACCATATTATGTACGTTGCATTAAACCAAATGACAAAAAGTCCCCCCAGCTGTTTGATGAAGAGAGATGCCGGCATCAAGTGGAATATCTCGGGTTACTGGAAAATGTGAGAGTACGGCGGGCAGGATTTGCTTACCGTCAGACCTATGAGAAGTTTCTTCACAGGTGAGCAAAGATCTTCAAAGTACCTTATGAACAACATAATCTTCCTAACATTTGTATTTCAGATGATGGAAACAATGAATAAATCCTAGAACCAGTGAAAAATGTCCCTCATCTATTGGCATGAATGAGCCTTGGAAAATAGTGCATCCTTTCTTGGAGAAAAGAGATGAGGTCTTTAAAATTCAGTTTTGCAGGGGGCAGCAGAGGAAGAGAGATTCTTTAAGAAGTTCAAGAATATTTTCAAATAATTAATTTAAAATTTAAAAAATATTTAATTTAAAGAACATTTAAAATATAAAATATCATCATTAAATGAAGACTTCTGAACTAAATCAAACATAAACCTTAGACAGAACAAAAGTATTTTTTTAGGACACTTGTTTCTGAACTGTCAGTTTTCCTGATTAGACTCATATTTCAACTTTAAAAAGTGGTTTTAGTTTGGCCTCGTTTTTGAGAGTTTATAGCAAAAGTGATCTACTTGTATTATCTTGCAAACACAACAAATTTTAATGATAAGTTTTTGGGGGTTTTTAATCATTATTGTTATTATTATTATTATTATTATTATTATTTAGTTTTTAGGCAGTTGGTGTTAAGTGACTTGCTCAAGGTTACAACAGCTAGTGTCAAGTGTTTAGTCTGAGGCCTAACTTGAACTCAGGTCCTCCTGACTTCAGGGCCAGTGCTCTATCCACTGTACCACCTACCTGCCCAATGATAAGTTTTACGTCTAATCCTTATGCCAATGCAAAGATGTTTATTTGTATATTCTAACTGAAACTTGTTGGAAATGAATGGAAGTTAAATAATGCCATGAGTTTAGTTGGGGAAATGGATGGGAGCATTGTCTGGGCTAAACCAGAGATGGGAAATAAATGATTAGAATGGTAGGATGCAAGGCTTCACCTTCAAGGGGGCAGATGGGAAAAGTGAGAGAAACAGCAATAAAGACCAAGGTTGTTGATCATGAATTACAAACTATGTAAATGTACTCAATCAGCCTTTGCTATTTCTTTGGCCTCCCTTTACCCTCAAATTTTAGATTTGCTACTATATCAAGAAGACAATGAACTCTAGTTCATGTGCTGGTACATAAGTGATTTTGAAAGTGGAGTTTAGTGGGACCCTATCAGTAGCCATGAAATTGGAAAGGTCAAAAAGCACTCCATATTTCATTATCATTATTTATTTAAATAACATTTTGGTTCAGCATTTTACTATGTAACCTATTCCACCAAAGCCATCTTTTTTTTTTGAGGCAATTGGAGTTAAGTGACTTGCCCAGGGTCATACAGTAAGTGTCGGAGGTCACATTTGAAGTCAGGTCCTCCAGATTCCCGGGCTGGTGCTCTATACAGTACACCACCTAGTTGCCCCTAAACCCATCTATTTTGGATAGAAATATGTTTCTGGAAAAATCCAGCTCCTGTGTTGAATGGGTCCAGTTTCTGCTTTCAATTGCATGTCACTATAAAGTACCAAGACTAATTCCTCAAACCACACGTGAAATGGAAATCAGTTGCATTGCTGATTCATTATGTCCTTCAGTGTTTTCCTATTTGCAGTCCCACATCCATTCAGAGTCATATTCTTTAATCAAAAGTGGGGATGGAATGGAAGCTAGAGGTCTGTTAGACCAGCAGACAGCGAAGCTGAGAGAACTATCTTGCTCTTTGCTCAAACAAGTGTTTCCCAGTGATTTCTTGTCTCAAGTTGGGCAGGTTTGTGTTAAAGATTATCAGTTTAAACCCAGGTTTCTACTTGTCACTTCCCTTTATCTTCACGTCTTTTATAGAGAGAGAGAGATAGGGCTTTTTAATGTACAAGTGAGCTGGAAAGCTTCAGAGGTCTTTTAGGGAGGAAAAGATGCTGTCAAATGGCAGATTTATTCTGAGTTCGGTTTTATAATTGGCAGGACCAGGCAGAATGTGATTCTCTGGAGTACCAGGGTCATGCTCTTTGCCTTAGGGAAGAAGAGAAGAGTAACTTTGCATTGATTTGTTAGATAAATAGAAAACCTTTAAGAGCAGCGTGGCTGTGTCATCCTGTCTAGTTTTTACAGTATGTCTGAAACTTTTTTCCAACTTGCTGGGGCCATTGCTACCTAGAACGCTCTTCAGATATTGACCTTTATTTCTGTTTTACACACTACTTCTTACTGAGGCTTGGTGTTTTTTGTAGTGTTCTGGTTGCCGGCCTTGCCCTTTCTTCATGTGTCATTGTTTGGTTTGCTCATCTCTTCATGTCATGAGTCTTAACATTTGCTTCTCATGTCTAACTGTGTCATCTAGTCCTCTCTCTATCCTGATGGATTTTTTCCCCCCGTATAATGCCATTATCATGGTTTTTTAAAGATTTCTTATCCTTGTGAGCGACATTACTTTAGTAGAGGATTTTGGTTTTGTTATCGTATTTTTATAATAGGATTGCTTTTGCTCAAACTGTTTTAAGATATGTGCCCTCCTATTAAATCTAACATTAAACTGTAGCATTTTCAGAAATGGGAACTTTCACTGTAACCGAATTTGAAAGTAATGAACTTATTAGCCTACCACTTATTACTAAGCCAAGGGAGCAGCATGGGTTTTCCTTCTATTTTTAGGTAACTGTAGGTTTCAGAAAGTCATTGTAACTACTCTGTATCTCAAATTCTCTTTTGGTTAAAGAGGTCATCCCTGTAGGATTGCAGGAACATGTACAGTCTGAGAACATGCTTCTGTTTCACTGTACTTGCGCCCCTTGAAGGAAAGAGATGATATAAATTCCTGCTGTTCTGATCCTGTTTTGCTGCTATACTCATGCATGCCAGACCTTTGCGTCTTTCCAGAAGGAACAGTTTCCATTCACTACCTGTCTTTCATTACCCACTTACACTCCAGCCATTTGTCATCCGTCTTCCATTTCCCATCACCACTGAGAAAATTGTTCTATCGCAGTTTAGTCATGAGCTCTCCTTCTCACCAGATCCACCTCTCAGCTCCATCACCTGCTATCACCTCTCATGTTCTGTCTCTCCTCCTTTTACAGGTAAACTTCTAGAAAAAATCTGTGCTCATTGCCCCCATTTCCTCTACTCCCGTTCATTTCTCCACCTCTTGTAATCTGGTTTTTTACCTCATTACTCAACTGAAGTTATTCCTTACTGGATCCCGTTCTGCTCTCTAAACATACGTTCTTGATCTGGGGTCCATGAATTTTTTTAAAAAATTTCAATATAATTGTTTCCCACAGTCTTGTATATCTTATTTTATGTATTTAAAATGCCTAAAAGGGGTCCACAGGCTTCATGGAACTGCCATTAGCAAAAAAGATTAAGAACCCCTACTATATACCCTCTCTCTCATGGGTTCAATTGTTATCTCTATGCAAATGACTCCCGCATCTACATATCCAGCCATATTCTCTCCTGGGCTACAGTCCTGCATTGCCAACTGCATCAATCTCAAATTGAATGTCCCATAGACATCTCAGTTTTAGCATGTCCAAAACAGAGCTCATGATCTGTCCCTCTCACACTGGATAGAGTTCCAGACCTGGAGTTAAGAAGACCTGAGTTCAAATTCAGCTTCAGGCACTTATTAGCTATGTAACCTTGGCAAATCACTTAACCTCTGTTTGCCTCAGTTTTAATCATCTGTAAAAATGAGGATAATAAGGGCACCTGAGTGAGAAAGGAGTGTTGTGAGGATCAGTCATTCTTGACTCCTCATTATTTCTCATTACCCTTCCCCAACCCCATATGTAATCTGATGCCAAGACCTATTTCTTTCTTTCTTTTTTTGACTAGGCAGTGGGGTTAAGTGACTTGCCCAGGGTCACACAGCTAGTGTGTCTGAGGCCGGATTTGAACTCAGGTCCTCCTGAATCCAAGGCCGGTGCTCTATCCACTGTGCCACCTAGTTGCCCCTCTTTATTTCATCTTTGAAACATCTCTGGAATATGCCACCCTCTCTCCTCTGACATTGCCTCCATCCTGGTGTAGGCCCTTGCCACTTCACACCTGGACAGTTATAATAATCTGCTGGTGGATCTGCCTGCCTCACATCTCTCCCCACTCCAATCCTTCCTCCATTCTGCCGCCAGAGTGACTTTCCCAAGTGCAGATCTGATCATGCCACCTCCGACCATATTTAATAAAGTCCACTGGCTCCCTATTGCCTCGTAAGGTCAAATACAAAATTCTTTTTGTCTTTCAAAGCCCTTCATACCCTAGTGTCCTTCTACCTTCCCAGTCTTCTTTTTTTTTGTTGGACAGTGGGGGTTAAGTGACTTGCCCAGGGTCACACAGCTAGTAAGTGTTATGTGTCTGAGGCTGGATTTGAACTCAGGTCTTCCTGAATCTAGGGCCAGTATTCTATCCACTGCATCACCTAGCTGCCCCCATTCCCGGTCTTCTTACACCTTACTCCCCACCATGTACCCCTCCATCCGGTGACACTGCCATCTTGGCTGTTCCACAGACAAGATTCCATCTCTTGGCTCTGGGGATCCACTTTGGCTGTCCCCCATGCCTGCAGTGCTCTTCCTTCTCAACTCTGCCTGCTAACTTTCCTGGCTTCTTTAAAGCCCCAACTTTACAGGAACCCTTTCTCAGTCCCTCTTAAATCAAGTCCCTTGCATCTTTTAATTATTCCCTGTGTATCCTGTATATAGTGTGCATTGTATATATTTGTTTATAAGTTGTCTTTCCCATTAGATTGCAAGCTCCTTGAGGGCAGGGACTGGTTCTTGCCTTTCTTTGTATCCCTGGGTTTAGCACAATGCCTGGCACATAGTAGGTGCTTAATAAATGTTTAATGATTGATTGAAATGAGATGCTGTTTGTCAAGTGCTTTTGCAAACCTTAAAAGTGCTGTATAAATACCAGCTGTTATTCTGAATTTTCTGTTACCGCTGAGGGCACCATTATCTTTCAGAGAGATAGGAAGCCAGGAAATTACTATTTCTTGTCCTTCATTTTCCAAGAGGACCAAAATGACATCACTAAGTTAGAGTTA